TCAGCGGTAGCGGCCATGGTCGTGCATCGCCTGAGCAGGACCCGACGGGTCCTAGGTCCCAGTTGGGGCTTGGTTCCTGTGGATCCGCGCTCCGCAAGCCGTTGACTGCGGCGCATCAGAGTACTCTGTCTGCTGCTGATATGTCACCGCTGAGGTGGCACCTGCTGATGTGGCACTGCTGAGGTGGCCGCTGCTGAGTTGGCACTCCGCTGTCGTGGCATGCTGAGGTGGCATGCGGGTGATGTGGCAATCTGCCTTCGTGGGCCGCTGCTGATGTGGCACAATGCTGACGTGGTCAGAGACTGAAGTCCGCAGTACCGAGAGGAGGAGAGAGAAGGTAGGGGTGGAAGAAAGGGCAGAGAGGCAAACAATGCACAGACAGTCCCTTTTCCTTCCTGCCCTCGAAGCGTGACACTAATCAAAAAAATCCTSCCCCCCCCCCCCCCCACAAAAATTGCGAATTTCAAGAAATTAAATATTTATTATTTAATTAATAATTATTTAAATAAATTTAATCGAAAAATGCGGATTTAATTAAATAAAATTTATTTTTGGCAAAACTTCCGCAAAAGATTAAATATTTAATTAAAGAATATAAATTTGCAATAATTAATTTCGTAAAAGTTAAATATTTAATTAAAAAATATTTAAAGTTGCACAAGTAAAAATGAATAAAGTTTAAGCAAGTTTAAACTTTAAACATTTAAACATAATTTTAATAATTTCACGAAATTTAATCGGGAGAGTTTAGCATCAATGGTTGCAGAAAGATACACGATTTGCTTGAAAAGATTCAAACTTTAGTCGCAATGAAGATGCGTTTGCAAAAAGTGAAAGTCCCGTGAAGTTGCAGTTGAATGTGGCCGAGCTCAGGCCCAATCTGCCGTAATTGGCGTGGTGCCTGGCTGGCACTTACTTCCCATAGACTTGATAGGTCGTTAGGTTAGGTTAGGACTAACCCTAATTAGCGCTCATTAGGTTAATCGTAATCAGCGATTCCCTAATTTGCGTAATATAGAGAAAAGTCGCAAAACCTAAAATTATAATTCAAACGACCTAATTACTATGTAAGTACGAGAAAGAAAAAAAATTTGCAACTTGCGATTTAATGATAACAGAGTACAGGTGTAGATAATCAATCAATCAATCAATCAATCAATCAATCAATCAATCAATGGTGAGTCATCCAATGCTGGTCTGCTCCGATACCAAACTGTTGCATACTCGTGAAACACAGTCATAAGTATGGCACAGATTCCCAGAACCGACCAGATAATACAGAGTAAATACGAATACAGCGGAAGACTTGAGAGACATGGACTGACTCTGACCTGACTCGGACTGCAAACGAACACTCTCAATCATACATCAGGGGTGTGAAAGCCCTGGCCTTGGACATAGACGAAAGGCCAGGGTCTGACATCATCCACGGAGGAGAGAGACGAAGGGAGGAAGAGAGGGAAGATGACGTCAACTCAATGTTTCCAAAGCACAATGTCAAGTACATCTCCAGAGGAAGATGAAATCAGATCCCACTAGTAGTCCTCAACCTGTAGTCCCAATGTCGCTGTCTCCAATGTCATCAGAACTCATAACCATCCTTCACACTGATAGTAGCCCCGTAGGAGAACCCAGGAGTTGCACTAATCCTGAAGACTAACGTCCTATCTCACTAACCTCCTTACCGAGGCTGATACCCAGCCTTTTGTAGTGCTGGGCCGGCCTCCTACCTGCTGGTACCTACCGGCTGACCGTTGATCGGATCTGATCAACGGTCCAGATTCAAAACTGGACTTGGCGCCTAAACGCGGCAGCCTCTGAAACTGCACCGCCGGTAGGTCCTATGCTGGACCGGTACCGGGCTTGTGGCCGTTGGCCTGGGCCTCTACCCCTGGCCTGTCTGAACCGCCATACCCCTGGTTTACCTGGGCCTCATCTGAACCGTCGTCCCCTTAGGCCTACCCTGCCTACCTGGAACCAGGCCCTAACTGGGGCCCGTGTGGCTCAGAATGCCACACACAGGGAGGCCAGCACAACTGCGTCCTTAATTATAGACCAGATAGCTGTCTAGTACCACAGGGAGGCCAGCACAACATCATTCATTACCGGTGATCTCCCAATTAGTGAGGTTTCTCTATCCTTCCATAGTGCCATTTTTTCAAGTGCTGGCTTCAAGATCCAATCATAATTTGATGCTGGCCTGGGCCGTCAACATGATCCCAAGTACTCTGATAGGGGCCGACTCGGGAAGCCTTCTGACCTGTGGTATCTCAGGTGGCAGGAGACCCTGGTGGTGGATCCACCTCCCGAGCGTTTTGTTCCCAGAGTTAACTGTCATATCTGAAAGGGCCGTGACACGGCCTATCATCTTTCTGATTTCTTCCATGTCCTGAGGAGAGATATGTACCATCAGTGTGAGAGGGAGCAGACTGGGATCGCCTCCTCAGGGATGGCTGAGATCTGCAACCTCTTAATGTCCTTGTTACTCATAAGGTTGACCACCAATGCCTCCATTACTATAATCACCAAGAACGGGGCCAGAGAGTCCCCTTGGCAGACTGACCTTGGCAGCCAGATCTCCAGTGCGAGCCTGTAGTTAACCTGTACTCTTGTGGAGGCATTACAATGCAAGATCTGAGTCAAACAGTGAAAGTGCGGCCTGAAGTTCATTTTTTCCATGCCGGCTACTACGAGATTGATAACCCCCACCAGATTAATGAGAGAGTGTAACTTTATCCCAGAGACATGGAAACGGAAGCCAAAGTCGGGCGGGTTAACTAAAGGCCCTACAGACTAGTACAGAGTAGCTCAGCGGCAAGGAGAGCAAGGAGCAGACCTGACAATATACCATTTTTTGCCGGTGTCTCTGCATTGCCATCAAACTCTGCTGCTCCAGTGACAACAAAAACATAGTACAGGCAACTTGTTGAACCGCATGACATCAATGATGAACTGAAGGAGAGATGGTGCAAGAGACAATGGAGTACACCTGACAATGTACCGTTTTTTGCCAGTGTTTCTGCATCGCCATCAAACTTCACTGCTTCAGGCACCAACAAAATCGGTGTACAGGCAACAGCAAGTAACATTAACTCAATTGACATTAACATAATAAGGATATTCTTTCTATTTCAATGATGAATTGAAGGAGAGATGGTGCAAGAGACAATGGAGTACACCTGACAATGTACCGTTTTTTGCCAGTGTTTCTGCATCGCCATCAAACTCCACTGCTTCAGGCACCAACAAAATCGGTGTACAGGCAACTTGTTCAACCACATGATGTCAATGACGGACTGAAGGAGAGATGGCGCAAGAGACAATGGGTGCCCTCCCAAGCAATTGATGAATGGACCCTGGCAACAATGCGGCTATTTGTACAATTGAACAATATGTTGCCAGACCAGAAGCAAGCCGGCCTCTTGTGGATGATCTTGCACTCAGCCATCGGCACTGCAGAATGGCAGGCTATGAAATCGCAGTATCAAAATAAGGCATGCTCCTCCAGTGCGAATATGGTGTTCTAATTTGGGAATGGTGGGATCAGGAGGTGGCAAGCTGGGCCCCGCTTTCCCGAGAGCAGTTGACTCCACAAGACATATTGCTTGGACCCCACTCATTGCTGGAAGAAAGACCAAGCGGGTGACAAAAGTGAGTCTTTATGCAAGGGAAGTGGTGAGGGCTGCTGTGTGTTTAGGAATTGAGTGACTAGATGTGCTGCCGTTAGGGGAGGTAAAAGACCAGCAATGGCTGCGATACGGTCGGCAATGAAGACAGCGCTCAAGCAAGCAATTATGGCTGAATTTCAGCACAGACACCTTCAGCCTCACATCCTACTCCAGGAAAGTTGCCTGTCTACAGGGCATGAAGGTCGTTCCCCCCTTTTCTTAGCAGTGATATCCTCAACGGTTCTTGTTCATTCAAAAGTCTGCTGGGCCATGTTTGGAAGCTTCCACATCCCTTCCGAAAACTGGGAAGAAGAGTGACACTCTCACTGATATACAGAACAAATCTTGCTATACAAAGAAAGGAAAGCTATCAATGGTGTGCTGAGAAGCAGTTGTCCAATCGTCACACAGAGTAGGGGGTGGCAGGGACTGTGTCGATGTTAAATCTAGAGGAGGATTCGTTGTGAGGATGTACGGGAACTCGGAAGAAGAGCGGTAAATAGCTGTTGCTTCCATAAGAACGTGTGAGAAAAAGGTGGAGTACTGTAATGGGAGTGAACATATGACTCGGGCTGGTGCAGGAGCGCTGCTATCCGGTGCAACCAGAGGCAACGTTCCAATGGACGGGATGAACGGCTTGCCAGATGGGGCAACTAATGCCCAGAAACATTGATAAACGGGTACGAAATTCAGGTGTCACCAGAGGGCTAGGGAGAATAGAGGATCAGAAAGGGGGAGCATACTTTGGGGGTATGTAGTAAAGGACAATAGTTGGCATTCAAGTGAAGGCGTGGTGAATAGTAGAAACCAAAGTAGAGATGTGGACAGAGGGCATTATATGCTAGGTGAGGAAGGGAAGAAACTGTGGAAATCGATGCGGCCACAACATTTGATGTAGCAGACCTATAGCAGCAGGGACACTGGTGCAGAATGGCAGGAGTTGACAATCGAGGCTTAGACCCCTCTAACGCCCAGGTATGCTGAGCGTCTCCTGGCTGTAGGGATCCAAGCAGCTGAAAATATTGCTGCCCCCTGCTGCTCTGCAACAAATGGCCACTGCCCGTGGCGGCTAGTGCTGGGGCAGAGCTTCTCTCTTTGCTACTTGTTTGTGTTTGTTCATGCTTGCCAGTGATAAGCAACCGGAGTGACGCCCCCCAAAAAAACAATAATAGTAAATATCAATTGAGGCAAGCATGAAGTGGTGCAGTCTGCGACACATATTTGACCGGACATCCAGAGAATCCTAAAATCAGAAGCCAGAAAGAAAGGAACCTTTCATGCATCTGTTCAATTGCAAATTTGGGGAAAATATGGGGCCCGAGGACAACTTACCCAAAAATTCTCTCCATTTCTTCCACCATCTCCTCAGGCTCTGATGCAGACCACAGCTCTTGAGTTGGAAAGTCCCTCAGCAGTATACTCAGAGCATTAACTTCCAAAAGGTAGTTCCATCAGTGAAGCACACAATACACAATGAATCCATCCATTAGACATTTTCAGCCTTCCTTCCACGAAGCACAACGGACATCTCTGGAACTGGACGACAACGGTGGGTTGACTACGAAGTTCCTGTTAGCGAAGACCAGAGAGATTCTAAAATGCAGAGGGATCGAGATTGCATTGAGCCTCACTGCTCGTCACCTTGAGCACACACACAATGAGAGATCACACGAAGTCCACACTGGAGACCATAGATGCAAAGTCTAGATAAGCGCAGCTTAGAATTTCCAACAAATTATCATATTAGGCGGTTACAGAGTTCCAGTCACCAGCGCTCATCACCGCAGAGTTCAGCAACCCAATTCCCCAATCCTCATCCAAGGTAGGGGACTCTCTTCTCTCTCTGTCCCCCCCCTCTCTCTCTCGCTCGGCCTTCTTCATGCATGCGCTCACTCTCTCTCTACTCTCACTCTCCCTACTTGAAGATCTTGACTCTGAATACATCCGCCAACACCTGACTCTATCTCCTACTACTAGCTATGCGGCTATGGCCGCCTTCCCTCCTCAACGCAGCGCTGCCCAGCAGGGCTCTCGCGCATTCTACTCGTAAATAGCGCACAATGACTTCAGCAGCACTTCCACACTTCTCACGAATGAACAATCTCCCTGAAATGTGGCTGGCCAGTCCTTATATTGACTTGGACTGAGCCTGAACTCATCCTAGCCTCTGCTTCCTTTGGCTTGACTTGGACCCGGTACCACATGCCCACGGCCTGCTTGCTTCAGAATGTCAAGACCTGGTACTTTCCCGAATTTTCATTGGTGTGCTGCTGCTTTAGTCTGTGAGTCACAACTTTTCACCTGTGGAACATGACGTTTGACTGTGGACGTGACTCTTGCCTCTGGGACACGACTTTTGCCTGGAGAAGTGTCCTTTGCCTGTGGGATATGACTTTCCAGTATGACTTTTCAATATGAGACGTGACTTTTGCTTATAGAATGCAACCTTTGCCTCTGGGATGTGATTGTCTACCGGGTGCCTGTTGGACTTGACTCCAAGGTACCCGACTGTGACCTTTCTGAACTGGCTGACTTGGCCTCCCTTGGCCTGAGACCTTGACCCTGAAATTCGGATTTGGGGTCTGCATCATGGAATGCCTTGAAGTTTCACTCTCGCCGGCCTAATTTCGAGGTCCTCTGAGAAAGTTACAATCTTTATCTATCAACTATATTGATTCCTCTCCTAGCTGTCTCATAGTAAGAAACTGTGCGGTGCTGTTTCGACTAGCTCATCTCTAGTAAACCAGCAATCTTCCGAAGGCTCTTGATAAGCAAATCTAACTTTATATAGTTGCTGGGGCCTACCCCTGCAGCCCGGTCTATAAACATCATCTGCAACAATGCGGTCCACGTCATATTTGCCATCCATATCAGGAGGGATCATAGATCTTCGAGACGGAAATAGCTCATTGCGGACACAAGGGAGTAAGTTAGAATCATGAAACAACGGATAAGTGTGCAAATGCGGAGGAATCTCAACAACGTACGAAGGACCATCCACATCACCAATCACATCAAGAATCTGCCAAGGTCCCTCTGCAAAATGTTCTCCTCCGGGAGAAACTCTTCAGATTTCACCCAGACCAAATCCCCTACAGTGAACTGCGAAGGTCTGCGGTGTTTATTTGCCTGCTCTATCATCTGACGATGTGCCTTTCTGATGTTCTCCCTTACTTTCTCCAAGTCTTTCTTATACTGGACAGCGAACTCTCTAGTCCCTGGCGGAAGCCTTTGCACTTGATCGGTATGCACAGTCTGTCGTGCGCATATATGAGGAACTAATATGTCTTGCACTTGGCGGACACACTTTGCACACTTTGCAGCCTTATATATAAGCTATGCAATCATGCTTCATTCCAGCCCGATGTATAGGAACGTAGGAGGTTAGCATAAGTCGTACCTCCAACCGAAATGTCCCTCAGTGTCGTAACATTCCCCTAGGATTAGACTGTGAATCTCCTCACTGTTCGGTATGCACAGTCTGTCGTGCGCATCCATCTTCTCAAACACCAGTCCTTGTGCCACCCTATAGTCCGGAACTTTGTGTGGTGCCTTAACTAACTATAGACCAGATCACTAACGTAAGCGAATCTAACCCTAACTAACTATAGACCGGATCACTAACGTAAGCGAATCTAACCCACATCTAAGTATGTTACAGTGGCACCAAAGAAATCAACTCCTCTTCTCAGCGCATCAGCAACGACATTATTCTTCCCTTTTGCTGGCTTCAGTTCGCAGTCAAATTGGTCAATCTCCCCAGCCCACCTTGTCAACTTAGGAAGATGAGCAATAGAGAACTTCAGCAATCAAACAGCAGCATACACATGAGACCAGATGGTCGTGACCTCGAACCAAGAGCAGAATTGCATCACGAGTTTCACCAAATAAGAGCACACCAAAAGCTCATAATTGACAATGCTGGAATAGTCTCATCATCATCAACGAAGAACCAATGTTGATATCCTATCTGGCGCTCGGCGCCCAGACTACAAATGGCAGATCCTATCTAGCCTAGACTACAATGCCGCTGATGACGTCAACAGCTTTCCAAGTACGAGCAGACCTCGTCCAATGCCGCACGCGTCAAGCACCAGGTATGCCTCTCGTATCACTCACAACCTCGTTCCCCAACTCACAGATGCCACTTGCACCCAAGGACCACCATGCGCCCAATCCAGCATACAGCAGCGTAGCTCGGCTATGGCTGCCTGCTCCTTCCAGCTCGCCCGTGAGCGCGTGAGCCTGGCAGGCGATAGCGCAGCAGTGCTTGTGCACAAAGCAGCCAGTGCCCAAATGTTCAATGTGTGGGCTGGCCCTTTCCTAAATGGAAGTGGCCAGCCTGCTTGCCTGCAGCCTGGCTGCGCTGGGCCCCTGCCCAGAAGCTTCCGGTAGGCCCAGGGAGGTGAGCCTCAGGCCAAACGAATCAGGCCCAGGGCCACCGACAGTTATCTCATATCTACTCAGCCCCTTCTACTTCACCCAGTTCCACGGAGTCTTGACTCCCTCGCATTCCCCAATTCCCTCCTCCACCTCCAGCGACTGCGGCTCACCCGTGCCCAACTGCCAGCTGTCTGCGTTGGGTCTGTGCTGCGTATGTCGCCCAGGGCCTGACTTAGATACATTCGAAAAAGGAGGGCAGGACCTGGGCGTCTTCAACCAACTGGTGCTGCGCAACTGCCTGAATTTTCCCCCAGTTGCGAAGTAGTCCAAAGTAGGCCTCTTATCGTCTGTCGGGCCTGCCTTCACTTAGGGCGGCCGACCTGTGACAAATAGGGGCCCAGTAGGGCTTATCGAGGCCTATGCCTCACATTCCCTCCTCCATACTTCGCTAGTCCTCTGAGAAGTTCAATCTTCGATAATCTGGTGCTTTTCCTTCTGCAGAGACTTTTCATATTGGGTCACAACCTGAGGAGCGGTCTGCATCAGTTCCTCCCTGGTAAACCATCAGTCCTCCTTTGGATCAGTGTGATGTCTGAACCGAACTCTATACTGTAGCTTCGGTTTTGGAGGACATCCTCTGCCTGCCGGTCTTGTGGTCAACGATGTCATCGATGTCGACCTCTCCATCCATGGTTGGGGGCAGCATAGAGCGACAAGAGGGGAAACTGATCAGTTTCTCTGGACAGTGCAAGCTTAGAGGCGTGAGATACCGGATATGTGCGTAGGTGACCAGGGATGCGAATAACATAAGAAGGACCATCCGCTTCATCTCCAATGACATCTAAAACCTCCCATGGTCCAAAAGTACTGTGGCATGAGCTTACAGGATATCCCATGCTCCTGACCCAGTTCTGAGGACTTGACCCAGACTCGGTCCCCTACCTGAAATGTGGATGGGCGGCGGTGTTTGTTCTCAGACTCTATCATCGCCGCCTGTGCTTTTTGCATTTGTTCCACTGCCTGCTGCATCTTTTGTTCATATCGATAAGCAAATTCTAGTGTACCCGGTGCAGCAGTTTGCTGGTTCTCAGGTAATAGAAAGTCTAGGGGCAGTCTAGGCTTGAAAGTTAGTAGCAGGCTGTTAGGGCTCACCCCTGTGGCGCTGTGCACAGCGTTGCTGTATAAGCTGGCGATGAGAGCAAGCTTCTCATCCCAGTTCACCTGGTTGGGCTTGATGTAATGCCACAGCAGGTGTTGTACAGCTCGATTCATCTGAGCCGCAGTCGCTGGAGGTGGCCGTTGCGCCCTTCTTCGGTACAAATAGGACTGAAGATCGATAAGGAGAAACACTCGGCCGGATCCAACCCTTCTCTATGAGTTCCTTGAGTTGCCGGTGAAGCTCATCAAGCTCGCCTGGAGACATCCGATAGATCCTACCCTTTGAGATACTAGACCCTGGGATAATCTCTATCGCATGGACGACCTCCCTCTCAACAACCCCTGTAGGCTCTTCAAATAGATCAGGGTACTTGGCAACTACTCCCTCTATCTTCCGCGGCATTTTCAACAGCTCGCCTGTTGCAGACACATAAACTAGATACATACCCTCCTCCGGATTTTGCTTATAATAATTATAGAACGCGGCCGCACACATGCATCCGTGGGACTCAATCAAACTACTAGCTTTGAACTTATGTAATCTGGCGGTCCCTCCACCTGGCAAAGTGTGTTTGACCACTTTTCGGTCCCAGTCAAACTGGGGCTGTGCAACGGAGAGGGAGTACATACCTAGCAGGATATCCATAGGAAGATCATCACTCACTAGGTACGAAACATGATGTCTCAATTCCCCTCCCACGTACGGGAAACAACACTCAACATATGAAGGTAGTCATTAACTACCATGCGCTGTTTGTTGGCACAGGTCGACTCAGGCGAGCAAGTGTCATAATAGGCCCCGGCCTTGCGGCCGCCGATGACTACCTCACCGACGAACATCTCTCCCTTAGGGGTTTTGGCCAATGTCGTCCAAGAAGCTAATGGGTCTGA